TCCTGCTATCTTTTCCTTCTGTCTGCTTTGCCTATGATGCCATCCCGGCATGCTCACCTCCCACTCAGCTCAAATGGCCAAATGCCAGCTGCTCCAGGAAGTCTTCCCAGAGTCCCCCAAATGGAGAAAATCTCTCCCTTGCCTGGATACCCGTTTTGTTTATCATAGTTCTCACCTTACACCATATTACAAGCATTTGGTCTCCATTATAGACTGTAAGTTCCTTAAGGATATACTTTGGTTTTGATTCATTTCTGTATCTCTCTCGTGCCTTGCACAAGGGAATGGCCCGTAACTATTGCCCAGGAGTCCATGAAGAAAGGAAGGCAGGAATGGAAGGATCACTCCTGGAAAAATGATATAATTACAAGTGGCATGTTAACACCTCTCTAGGAAGCATTCACTAAAGACTCTCCTGATGCCCCAGATGAGGGACTAATATCCAGAATCTACAAAGAACTCAAGCAACTCAACATGAAAAAAATAAACAACTCCATTAAGAAGTGGGCAAAGGATGTGAATAGACACTTCTCAAAAGAAGATATACAAGCAGCCAACAAACATAAGAAAAATGCTCAACATTACTAATCATCAGAGAAATGCAAATTAAAATCACAATGAGATATCTTCTCATACCAGTCAGAATGGCTATCATGAAAAGGTCAAACAACAACAGACTTGGCATGAATGTGGAGAAAAGTGAACTCTCAATACACTGCTGGCGGGAATGCAAAATAGTACAACCTCTATGGAAAACAGGGTGGAGATTTCTCAAAGAACTAAAAACAGAACTACCATTCGACCCAGCAATCCACTACTGGGAATTTTTCCAAAAGAAAAGAAATCATTACGTAAAAACGACACCTGCATTTGTATGTTCATTGTAGTATAATTAACAACAGCAAAGTCATGGAACCAACTCAAGTGTCCATCAACAGTTTACTGGATTAAAGAAAATGTGGTATATAAGCACCATGGAACACTACACAGTCATAAAAAAAGAACAAAATCATGTCCTTTGCCACAACATAGACGGAACTGGAGGCCATTATCCTAAGTGAACTAACTCAGAAACAGAAAACCAAACACCACATATTCTCACTTATATGTGAGAGCTAAACAATGGTTCTCATGGACATTAAGATGAAAATAACAGACCCTGGGGACAACCAAAAGGGGAAGGTGGAAAGGGGCGAGGGCTCAAAAGCTACCTGTTGGGTACAATGTTCACTATTTGGGGAATGAGGGACACCAGAAGCCCAAACCCCACCAGTACACAATATGCCCAAGTAACAAACAATGCATGTGTACCCCCAAATCTAAATTTTAAATTTTAAATAAAAAAGAAAGATGTCCTGAAAGCTTCCAGAATTGACAACTAGGAACTACAGTCAGCACATTCAAACATCTCCCCTTGTGATTGTGCAAGCATGGCCACCTGACAGGGATCAGACCCATTCTTGTTCAGAAGGTGGAATGCCGCTACACTGAGGCTTCCTTTCAATGGTCTCCATTTCCATTTCTGCAACACTGTTTGGGCCAGTGGTGTCTAAGATGGTGTCATGTATTCGCCAATAAACTGCTGCTTGAACTGATGGGCTATGTTAGATTTACTTTGAGAGCCAAATAGAATAAAGTCAAATAAAAATGTTTCCGCCTTTTGAAAGTCGTGACAGGCTTAAAGGCTCAGGGCAGCTTTCTCATTCTTAACTTCCAGTTTTTGTGGCCTTTGTGCTAGCTATACGATTAAAGTCAGGCATACATAAACCCCTCTCAATTTATAGACCAAATTAAAGGAGAGCTTTACATGTAGGCAGAACTTACCAGTGACCACAGAATTTAGGAAAAAAAAATGATTTTGCATACTCACTGCTAAAGGACAACGGTCATTTTACCTTATCACTCAATAAGGGGGCCATGTTTTCAGGCCAGGCAACTGAAGCAATTGGCATAGGGGTCCGTTCATCAACAACAAAGTACACTTTATTTTCTGAGAGTTGTAATACCACTCTGTAGCCACAACCTCATGAGCAAAGTGTTCTCCAGTGGTGAAAATACTACTAAAAATGTCTTGGAGGTTTTTACCAGGAAAAACTTACAGAGGTGGATAGCAATTCAGCATAATTGTTTATTTTTTGCCAGAAAACATGTTTCATCCTATCGACTGCCTTAGAAATCAGAACTTACTGTCTAGAATGTTCAGCTTATATAGCAAAGTCACAAGCCCAGGAATTATTGGAGTTCCCATTTTTACCTACCTCAGGACAGAAGGGCTGGCCATGTTGGCTCCCGGCAGCTCAGTGAGTCCCTTTCACACATTGCCCTCCTCTGCAGGGGGCAGCCCACCCTCTCCTTGGGGCCGCCCCTGTCTGATGATGGACCAATGCAGGGGGCAACAGTCCATCCACCTCAGTGGAGGACAATCCGCAGTACCTATTCTGGTTCTGCAGTTCTCAAGCAGGGTTATCTGAGGTCTCCACCACAGCTGTGTCTGGGTTCAGCGTCCCCTTTGCCCAGTCCTGCTTCCCTCACAGGTGCTGTCCAAGGGCACCCTACAGTACACCTCCCGCCTGTAAACCTCTGTTTCCCAGGAAACCTGACGTAAGATTTAATCATGACACTTTTCATGGTGAAGAACCTTAACAGAGCCCAGCGCAGCAGCTCATGCCTGTAATCTAGTACTTTGGGAGGCCAAGGTGGGAGAACTGCTCGAGCCCCGGAGTTTGAGACCAACCTAGGCAACATAGCAAGACCTCATCTCTATTTTTTTTTTTAAAAAGCAAAAACTAGCTGGGTGTAGTGGCACACGCCTGTAGTCCCAGCTACTCAGGAAGCTGAGGCAGAAGGATCACCTGAGTCCAGAAGGTCGAGGTTGTGGTAAGCTGTGATCACACCACTGTACTCCAGTCTTGGTGATGGAATGAGACTCCGACTCAAAAAAAGAACCTCTACAAGCTTTGAGACGGAACAAAGAACGGAGGGTAATTGGACTAATTAACATTCGGCAATCCCTGATTAACCTCACTGCTCCTCACCACCCAGGGGGAGCTGGCCTGGCAGGGAGGGGGATGTTGGTGGGCCCTGGCCAAGTCTCCTCCTAGCTCTTGCCCACTGAGATGCTCACAAATCAGCTTTGATCCACATCCAAGGGCTGTGGGCTCCATGCCAGGTCTGACTGGTATTTAAAATTAGCATTTCAATCCCAGCAGATGCCAGGAAGGGGGCATGACTGATTTGTGAAGCTCTGAGCCAATCAGGGCAAAGTCCATGTGGAACACGTGCTTTAGAAATGATAGCTTTGTCAAGACCCTTGAATTAAACCCCAGACAGCTTATCATACCTACTCGGTATGTCCCTCATTTTAAAGCAAAAATATACAACAAAGAAAATATGGACCTTGCATAGTATCATAGAGAAGGCTAACAATAACAACGTTTTGAAAAAAGTAAAATAAACCAAAATGCACTGTTGAAGTCCAAGAGAAGTGGCCAGCAATGCTTTGCAGAAATCAACCCTAAAAAGGCAACAGATATTAGACTGTACATAAACTAATATGAACAGAAAATGATTGCCATAGATAATTTTCTTGTATATTCAATACTAAAGAAAATGTATACATCCAACATACATCTTATCTATTACTGGCCCAAAGGGAAAAAACTGTGTACTCTAAACAGTTGTAAATAAGAATATTCAATATGTGGAGAATTTATACGTTACATATTGTGATCACATACTCTAGAAAATTGGTCCACTTCAAATGATCTTAGAAAAAACAAATAAGTTGTAATAAACACTTCATGAGTCAGTAAAAAGGATCGGGATTTTTTTCCAAAGATCTTCACACATATGAAGACAAAATGTCACAACAAAATGATCATTTAGATCATGGATTTAAGTCTAACTTTTCAGTCGAATCTTTTCTTTCTTTTTTTTTTTTTTTTTTTGAGTTGGAATCTCACTCTGTCGCCCAGTCTGGAATATAGTGACACACTCAAGGCTATGGCAGTCTTCACCAACTGGGCTCAGGCGATCCTCCACCTCAGCCTTCCAAGTAGCTGGAATTGTAGGTGTGCACTACTACACCTGGCTAATTTTTTGATTTTTTTGTAGAGACGATGTCTTGCCAAGTTGCCCAGGTTGGTCTCGAACTCCTGGGTTGGGGCAAGCCTCTTACCTCTGCCTCCCAAAGTTCTGGGATTACATGCACGAACCACCACGCCCAGCTGAATCTAACCTTTTAATAAGTCAAAAATGAAAGTGAAGTGAAGTAATAGTTAGATCCCCAGGCATTTGTAAGTGCAACAGGGAAATGATGGTCCTCCTTCCATCTTCATTCATTTGTAAAATACAGCAAACCACAAGAAAACATCATATTTTAAAACATACTGTGAAAACTTTGCGTACTTTGATTGTATAAATGGTGAAATATGGCCACAAATATCCACCCCATCTATTGGTTTACATAATAATTAACCCCTTTTGATCTGGTCCAAGAACTGAATCCTGGCAGTGATTTCATCCAGTGGTTCCTACTTATTTCCTTTGGTTTCCATCACATGTCTTCTCTAGATTTTCCCAGCCAGCTGTTGAAGTTGTTTGTTTAGAAAAAGGTGACCTGCTCCCACACTGAAAGTTAAAAAAACAACCACCTATGCCCTGCAGCATGTGCTGGTTGGCTGGTCAAGTAGCAGGTCACTCTCATTCTAGCCCAATAACCACTACTGTCCACAAAAATCATAAATAAAGTACTATTCAAGGTTAAAAATCTCTGTTTGTGAGTCCAGCTTCATACACATTTTATAAGTTTTGACTCTTGTAGGTATGTTCAGTGTACAACAGTATTACACATGAAGACTGCAGTTTTAATAACTGTTTTGCAATCACTATAATGTTTCCTATTTTACATAATTACCCCCACAGAAGCACTTTCGGTTAATAAGTTATCTAACTCAGGGTAGCAACTGCACATAAAACTCTGACTTACTGCTGAAACTTACCATGTGCCATAGTTAGACTTGATTTAGCTTCCAAAGTCTGCGGGGCTGGAGCATTAACTGAAACAGCATAAAAAGGAAAAAGCTCATCGTTTCCATAATTAAAACATAAGCATCCAGACATGATGACAACCAAAGATTCCTCTACTTAGACAAGATATATAAAGACCATAAGGGACGAGTATTTCAAGTGACAAAGACATTACACAACTAACCTACACTAATTTTTAATAACAGCTTTATTGAGATAAAATTTCCCTTTAAAAATATACGATTCAGTGGTTTTCAGTATGTTCGCAGAGCTGTGTAACCATAACTACAATCTAATTTTACAACATTTTCATCACCACCACCCCCAAAATACCTGTACCACCTATTAGCCATCACACCTCATTTCTCACCCCCTACACAGCCCAAGACAACAATTAATCTACTTTCGGTCTCTACGAATTTGCCTATTCTAGACATTTCACATAGTAAATGAAATCATGTAATATGTGGTCCCTTGCACCTAGCTGTCTTTACTCAACATCACGTTTCAAGGTTCATCCATGTTCTAGAATGTAGGCTATCAGCATGTATTTTTATGGCCAAATTCCACTGCATGAACCGACCACATTTTATTTATCTATTCATTAGTTGATGGACACGTAGGTTGTTTTCCACTTTTTGGTTATTATGAATAATGCTGCAGTGAACATCTATGTACAATGCAGGGGTCCTGCCCCTGCAGGGATCGGAGGTCTCTGGCGGTGTGACAGCATCAGCGATTTAAACTGGAGGGATAGATATAAAGAGAAAGAAAGGGGGGAGAAAGAAAGAGACTGGAACTCCTGCTCAAGTGACCAGAAGCCATTTAATGGGTGTAATCCCAGGGCTTTTATCCCCAAACTCTGCAAAGTTATTATCACAGGAACTCCTGCTGTTATGGTTACACAAAAGGTAGCATGTACCTTTCACATGACCAGGTCCAGGTGCACAGAGGACACCCCCCACTCTCAAGCAGATGTATTTTTTAAACATGAAGAAAAACATGAAGTTCTTATCCAGTTTCTATGTACCCTTGTTTATAGCTACATAACATCGTTCAATACTTACACCTAAAACCAACATAATGATATATTGTCTTTTACTATTCTATGCTAATTCAGACTGGTTTCTATAAAACAGTTGGTGCCATGGTTACTCTCTCCTAGCACCAGCAGGCCTAATACAAACTTCACTGGCCCCCCCTAAATCAAACTGAACTAACCACACTTCTACAATAAAATGGTTACTAAAATTTTCTTAGTCTATATAAACTATTTTCTAAAACCTGTATCTATAAATTTCTGAAAGTCACATCAAGAGAACCTGTGACCTGTACTAAGGCTCCTCAATGTGACTCAAAGTCAAACTTAAACTGTGATAAAGCAAAAGACCATAAGCCGTGGAAAATGGGAACAATAGACTCCCAGGTTTAGCTGTGTACGTTTCGGTCTCAAGAGTTTTCTGTTAGAGCCAACTAGAGCCTTTCCTGATAGCTTGTGCCAAATAAAAAAAGAGAGAGAAAATGGGTCAACAGCTCCCAAATACATCCTAGTGGTCTCGGGGTCAACGGCCCTTCCTGATCCCTAACACTCAGTAGGCCTCTGTGGCTGGCTCCCAACAGTACAATAAACCTTTTTTTTTTTTTTTTTTTTAAGAGACAAGGTCTCATTATGTTGCCCAGGCTGATCTCGAACTCCTGGACTCAAGCAATCCTCCTGCCTCCACCTCCCAAAGTGCTGGGATTACAGGAGTGAGCCATTACATCTGTCCTATAATAAATCAATTTTGAAAAGTACTTTAATCACTGGGCTGGAAGACACCATGCAAATGTATTAATTTAGCTACAGCTTTGAGGGAAGGGTTTACCCAATTTAAGTAAGACTGCATGCTATTTTAAATTTCTCAGAAAATTAGTATAGCCTCCCTTCCGATATTTGACAATTCTAACCTGAGAGTCCTATCTGGACTATTTATTTGTCCAGTTTGTTTCCACTAACAATACTGATCTGTTAATTTACTACCACTTTTTCTATATTATTAAGATAAACTTTTAATTTTAAACCTGTCCTGAAAAATACTGACCACAAACCTCAGCTGCCTCCATAGGCATACATTTTTTTTTTTTTTGTCTTTACAATGGTGACTGGTGAAATGCTAAACTCCTATGTTTGTAAATTGCTAATAATTTGGAAATATGGCCTTCAAACCCACTTGCAACTTATATGATCTAGATCAAGGTTTGGCAAACTACCGCCCACTGGAACACAGCCAAGACCATTCACTTAAGTATTGTGTATGGCTGATTCTGCAATTGAACAGCAAAGTTGAGTAGTTGTAAAACAGGCCATCTAGTCTGTGAAGCCTAAAATAGTCATCATCTAGCCATTTACAGAAGAAAAAAAAAAGAACATTAACAACCCCTGATCTAGGTATTATTCCAGTTATAGAATCAAAGGATCTGATCTCTCTAAAATTGATCACAACAGTGTCTTCTTCCTAAACTACAGAATTCACTCCCATATTATGGAAGGGTAGTAAATCAGGTCTGGAATGACTGACTAGCATCTAAATCACCAAGGGTACAGACTGGTAGGGTCAACTATATCTGCCTTACATTAGGCACTACAAATTCTTCATTTTACTGGTTATTCGTCTGATTATTTATTGCACAGCTCCTAAATTGTCTTTCACTGTATGATTTCTTTTTTTTTTTTTTTATTGTAGGGATGAGGTCTCGCTGCCCAGGCGGGTCTTGAACCCGCGGGCTCAGGCAATCCACTCATCTCAGCCTCCCAAAGGCGTGAGATTACAGGCTGAGCCACCGAGCCCAGCTTGTCTTTCACTTTATGATTTACATTTTCTGACTTTAAACTTTAGAGTGCGTGTGTTTTCTTTTAAGTGATGAGAACGTCCCTCTTCCCTGCCGTCATCAGAACCTTGATTCTTAAATCCTTTTCCACGCTGGGAGGATGAACGGGGACATGCCAGCCACCCTCTTGCCTATTTGTCATGAAGCATGAACGCCCCATGTGTGAAGGGATTCCTACATACAGGTCAATAGACCTATTTTTTTTTCCTGGAATGTTCTAAAGCCAGTGGCATACAAATTTTTTGACCATATGCCCCAATCAGTAAAAGATATCCTTGACATACACATTCATTTAAATAAATTTTACATATATGATAATACAAATACCAAGTACTAACTTTAAAACACAAAAGTTTGAAAAACTTAAAAGGATGAACTTTTTAATAAAAAAAAGAACTTCTAATAATTTCTTTCCCATATTCCAATAGATATTTTTGCATACCCCATTTGAAGAAAACCACCCTAACTCAATATAACCTTGGTATTTTTGCTTCTTGCTTGTATATTTGGGTTTATTCAGCTGATGAAGATTAAAGATTTTTTTTGTTCAAATTATGTAGTCTTGAACCTTTCAGTTCTTCTCTGAAATGTGTTTTTTTTCCTCTTTATTTCATAAGATATGAGTGCAACTTCTCCTCCTCAACCCACTCTTGGCACTTAAAATCCCTCTTCCCTCCCACCACTTCAGCTTCAAGAAGCAACATCTGAGGCTTCGAGAAGCACCTGAGAAGTCTGGATGGTTAAAATTATCAGTATTGGCTGGGCATGGTGGCTCATACCTGTAATCCCAGCACTTTGGGAGGTGGAGGTGAGAAGACTGCCCGAGCCCAGGGGTTCGAGACCAGCCTAGGCAACATGGAGGGACCTCATCTGTATAATAAATTTTTAAAAAATTAGCCAGACGTGGTAGCATGCACCTATAGTTCCAGCTATTTGAAAGGCTGAAGCAGAAGGATCGCCTGAGTCCAGCAGGCCGAAACTGCCGTGAACATGCTCATGAATGTCCTTTGGTCACTACACAGGCCTCTCGTGATTCCTGGGCCCAAGTAAGTGGTGTCATCTCTCCGTGGCCAGCATGAGTCCACAGTACCCTCATGGTCAGATCCCTGTACGCATGGCATGTCTACCTGTCCCCTTGTGATCACCATCGCCCCTCCCTTACTTTCTCCACTCACACTTCTTTCCTCTCTCTTGCTCTTTCCTAAATGGAAGTAAAAATAATTCCACTATTTAACTATTATTTTAAAAAAATCTGTCCATTTCTAAACTGCAAACATTGTGTGTTTTTGGTCTGCTGCTGAATCTTGACAGCTGTGGGAGATGAGACAAGATGGTCAAGCTGATTACAAACAGGGACATATAGGACAGCTGTTCAAAGCCTGCGGCCGCAAGCATCTCAACAGACCCAAAACATGAAGGCCACCACATGGAGTCACATCGCTGCACAGAGCATGACTTTGGGAAATCTAAAACTATAACCTGGAGTGATCCCCCCAAATTTTTAGTCATTCCTTTTTAGATAACTTGCAAAACAGTAGCAATGGCTAATCAAAATCACCACAAAATCACACGGACAGTTACAGTCTTGAGTTTTAGAACTAGGTCAAAGGTAAGAATCTAAATACATCACTGACGCAATCTCTAAATACATTGGTTTTGGAAGAACAGTCTCTAAAAATAGTAACTAAAAGTCATGTTTTGTTTTAGCATTTTAAGGTTACCTTCAGAGCCCTGAACCTATTATAGAAACTTACTAGGTACAGCTGGGGCAGCTGGCTTAGATTCAAAAGTTTGCCAGGCTAAACGAGTCCCTGAAATGACAAAAAAAAAAAAAAATTAATTAACAAAAAAAAATTACAAGCTATGAATTAAATGTTGATAGCTCTTATCCTAATTTTCTATTCCAGAAAAATAATGAATGAAATGTACCAAGATATAATGCCTCATTCAAAAGAATAAATGTTGAACATAAATCTTCTTAAAGTTAAATTTTTCCTAGAATTGCTTTTCAGTCAAATATTTATGATACCTAAGTGATTATACAGGTATTCCCTCCTACCTGAGCTCCTGCTATTTAAAGAGAAGTTAAAAGGAACCACAAATCCTCTTTCCCCAACCCTCATCTCAAAACAAGAGGGAGGAAACCCAGTTCATATACCCTGGTACCAATCCCTAGTTGGCATCCTTCAAGAAGACAAAGATTCCCTCACAACCTGAGACATGCAGCAACCAAGACTGGAATCACTGGGAAGACCAGGCAGAAGGCAACTTTTAGGGAACTATGAGAACCTCAGCCTGTGGCTATTAGTCTCCTTTCTGATCTATCACTAATTTTTTTTTTTTTTTTTTGAGAAAGGGCCTCATCCAGCCCAGGATGGAGTGCAGTCGCACTATCTTAGCTCACTGCACCCTTGAAATCCTGGTCTCAATAATTTCTCCTGCCTCAGCCTCTTGAGTAACCAGGCCTACAGGTGCATGCCACCACATTCAGCTAATTTTTGTCATACTTTGTACAGACAGGGCTGCAATATATCCCCCAGATTGGTCTCAAACTCTTGGCCTCAAACAATCCTCCCACTTCACTTCATTCAGTGTCTGCATGATATACAGGTGTGAGCCACCACAACCCACCCTAGTCTAGCTCTTGAATGATGCAGAAATGGGTGGGCTACCAATAGTAGCATCTTTTGTATACTCCTCCCCATACTTAGAACAAATCTTTAACTCCCAAACTACCACAATTGAGACTAACACAGCAAGCCTTTACAGCACTTTAGAATAATTAAGAGTTTAATAATAACACCCGGCCGGGCACAGTAGCTCAAGCCTGTAATCCCAGCACTTTGGGAGGCCGAGGTGAGAGGCCTGCCTGAGCCTGCAGGTTCAAGACACACCTGGGCAACATGATGAGACCTTGTCTCTACAATAAGTCAAAAAATTAGCCGGGCATGGTAGTACATGCCTGTAGTTCCAGTTACTTGGAAGGCTGAGGTGGAAGGATCACTAGAGCCCAGCAGGTTGATGCTGGGGTGGCTGTGAACATGCCACCGCACTTCAGCCTGGGTGATGGAATGATACTCCAACTCAAATAATAATAATAATAATACCTAACTCTAATGAGGGCTTAACAAGTGTACTTCATGTGCATTGTGCCATTTAATCCTCATAACAAACCTATGATGTAGTTACTATCTGCTATGGTTTGCATGTTCCCTACAACATGCTAAAACTTGAAATGTAATTGCCATTGTAACAGTGTTATATGGCAACAGTGGTGGGAGTGAGTTCCTGATAAAAAGTATTAGCTTATCCCTATTTCCCTCTCTGTCTGGCCATCCTTTGCCATGGGATGATCCTCGCCAAATACCGGCGCCATGCTCTTGGACTTCACAGCCTCCAGAAACTGGTTCCTTATAAAGTTTCTGTGGTATTCTATTATAGCAGCAGAAAACAGATTAAGACACTATTAATATTCCCAATTTAGAGCTGAGAAAATTGAGGCAGAGATTCACAGAACTATTAAGTGCCAGACATAGGAGTTGAACCTGGTCTGCCTCCAGATCCTGTGCTTTGAATCACACAGATGTCCTACAGCATATAAAATAAGAGGTAAATGGTTACCGAACAAGTATTATGTGCATAATAGTATTCTGATTTAAAAATGAAACCATTAAATGATAGTTTAGATTTTTGAAACTCTTCAACTTTCTGGGTAACAGATCTCCCAAATTAAAATAATAAGCGGAATGCCATCTTAGCACACATAAACCAGCATGGCCCACGTTCTGACCCAGAACAGTTAGGGAGGCCCCCAGTCACTCCAGTCCTGGGAACCTGTCCACATACCTTTGGGTTCACGGACAGTGTTTAATGATTGTTTACTGGTAAAATCTTCAATCTGCAAAGAAAAACAGTCTTCTAGTGATATAAGTTTGAAACTAGACAGGGACATATTGGATAAGGGACATATAGTCTTATTAGTAAATTAACCTTTTCACTAAATCATCCAAAGACATAGGATATAGACTTCAAAAGCATAAAAGTAAAAGTTTTATAAAAGTAGCATTTGAATTTGGCTGCTTCTCAAAGTAATTACACAACTCTTATCTACCTTCAAATAAAATTAATCTTGAATTCTATCTGAATATATCTGCTCTACAGTATTTTTAAAAACCTCTTAGCCAGGCTCGGTGGCTCAGCCTGTAATCCCACACCTTTGGGAGACTGAGGTGAGTGGATTGCTTGAGCCCGTGGGTTCGAGACCCGCCTGGGCGGCGAGACCTCATCTCTACAATAAATAAAAAAATCAGCCAGGCGTGGTAGCGCATGCTTGTAATTCCGGCTACTTGGAAGGTTGAGGCGGAAGGATCGCTGGAGCCCAGCAGGCGAGGCTGCGGTGGCTGGGAGCGGCCACTGCACTCCAGTCTGGGCAACAGAGTGAGACTCCAACCCAAAAAAAAAAAAAAAAACCTCTTAAAATTTTATTTAATTGCATTTATTTTTACAAGCAATCACAATGGGAAAAATATTCCACCTTCTTTATCTTATACCACTGACAAATGCTCTAAACTAAAAACACATGTTCATGGATAAACTATGTTACTTAAAGAATCCCAGTGCCGAGGTCACGCCAGACCCACCTGCTGTCTCTGAGTTTTAATCAGCTCATTCTGCTCCTGGACTCTCTGTTCCAGCTCATCTATTCTTTTCTTGTAGGAATCTCTTGTACTTAGATCATCTGTCACTGAGGTTCGGAGTTTCTCTATATGTGACAGGAGCTGGAAAAAAATTAAGAGTCATCCATCTACAAGCTCCATGTAAAATGTTTTCATTCTACAGATGTTAGGTACATGTTCTCCCTTCTTTGCTGGCCTTGTGATATCCATGCACATCAGGTCGTTGAATAAATCTTTCCTTCTGTATATCCAGGTGCTGGCCATGCTAGGTGCTTCCTTTGTGTTCCCAGTGAGCTCACGACCCAAGATAGATAACACTGATAATGTGAGCAGATGAGCAGAGCAGAGCACATTACATAAATTGACATGTGAGGAGCAACATTAAAGGATTTGGGCTTCTCCCACAGAGCGACTCTGACTTGTCACACCACATTTCTCATGCAGTCCTATCCTTCATACATCCGCACGGGCCATCCTGGGCCAGAGGGCGCATCTTAATTATTATTATTTTTTTGAGTTGGAGTCTCACTCTGCTGCCCAGGCTGGAGTGCAGTGGCATGCTCACGGCCACCGCAGCCTCGACCTGCTGGGCTCTGGCGATCCTTCCGCCTCAGCCTCGGTGCCACCATGCCCGGCTCATTTTTTATTTATTGTAGAGATGAGGTCTTGCCAAGTTGCCCAGGCTGGTCTCAAACCCGCGGGCTCAGGCAATCTCTCACCTCAGCCTTCCAAAGTGCTGGGATTATAGGCATGAGCCACCGTGCCCAGTCATAATTATTTTTATATTCCCAGCAACTAGCACAATCCTTTGCCCTTAGCAGGTTCTCAGTAAATGTTTCTTAGAAAAGGGTGAGGGGGTGCTGCAGAGTAAAGGAAAAAAGGGAGGAAAAGAAAGACAGAGACGCAGAGAACAGAGAAGTCCCAAATATGCATAGATAAATTTATCGTTAGAGACTTGACATCAGGGAAGATCACATTCTGGACAAAAAGAATTCAGGAAGAATTTGTATCAATAATTTAGGGATTAAATTTGATCTTAAAGCAATTTCAGTAGCTGCTTAAACAGTGGGGGTAAGAAACAAAAAGCTTGGCAATTGGGGCAAAGGACATCCCAAGTCCAAGACCTGGAAGTGAAGACAAGGTGAGGTGATCAAATAAAGGGTGAGAAGTATGTGCATCTGAGGTGAGCGTACAAAAGCACAGAGACCAGAATTTCCTAATTGGTTTACTTTTAAAATTAACACTCACTATGTGGTAGATTGTTAAGCACTTCATCTCATTTAATCCACACCACAATATTGTAGATACATGTTTTGGCCCCATTGTACAGACGATAAAACAAGTCTAGAGAGGGAAAGTAACTGGCCCAAATTCAGGCAGTGGGAGCGAGGCAGAGCCCATATTTGAACTTCCACGTCTAGTTTCAAAGTCAACACTCTCAATCAACATATTTCATGGTCTCACCTCTGAAGTGCTCTGGGCTCCTATGAGGTTAGTCAAACACTGAGTTGAACCAAGTTAGAAAGATTTTCTGAGTGAAACCTTAAAAAGTAGTGGATACTCAGAATTTCCCCCAAAGAGGGCATTGCCAAGGACTTTCACTACATTTTTACACACTCAGTCGGGTTTAGTGGCTCACATCTATAACCCCAGCTCTTTGAGAGGCCAAGGCAGGAGGGTTGCTTGAGACCAGCTCAGGCAACTTAGCAAGATCGCATCTCTACAAAAAAATTTTTAAAAAATCAGCTGGGTGTAGTGCCATCCACCTGTAGTCCCAACTACTTAGGGAACTGGGGCGGGAGGATTGCCGAGCCTAGGAGGTCAAGGCTACGGTGAGCCATGATCATGCCACTGCTCTTCAAATTGGGCAACAGAGTGAGAACCCTAATCAAAGAGGAAAAAAAACAACACTTTTACAGAGCTGTGGAAGAGTGGTTCCCAAAGCAGTCTGGGAAACACTGAGCTAGAAAATAGGAGCAAACCAGTAAAAATGCCTGGTTCTGGGTGGCGGTTTAAGATCTTGGTCCTGATCAACAATATGGGAAGTTTTCCTAGGCCTCAGAAGAAGGGGCATAGTAATGTAACTGATGACATCATTTGGATATAGGAATTAAGAATGGACCAGGAAGGCAGAGACAAGTGTTCACTGAGAGAGAACACAGATAGTGTAAGCAAGAGAGCCAGAAATTATTTTAAAAAGGTTGCAGCCCGTGAGCCCATGTTTTGTGATCTACTAAGTCAAATTCTACGCTTTTTTCTCTCCCAATCCACACTACCCCATCCTTTCCTTTCCTTTCTTTACGTGACCATTCTACAACCTCCCAAGTTCTCAAGAGTCTTCTGTTGGGTCAAAAGGGCAGGCCATCGCTTATCTGTGACTCCCTTTGAACTCATACCAATGTTATTTATAAAAAAATAAAGACTGCCAAGAATCTAGGTAAAGCAATAGAAAGCTGGCAAAAGCAACTTCCCCTAAACAGAGAAATACAATATGTGTATTGTGGGAACAGTAGGCACCAATCATGTGGAATAATTAATAGTTAGGTCTCAGGCAGAGATTACTAAACCTGACTGAATTCACCCCTCTGTTAGGGTTTAAGAGAAAAGAAGGGAGAGAAGTAAGCAGCTTCTAAACAGTCAAACCAACAGATGAGGGAACAGCGTAGCCTAGCGGTGGCACAAAAACTCCCGCATTCCCAGAATGTGAGGCACACACCTCGCCGGAACCAGGAAAGGCCTTGCTTTCTTCCTCCATAAGATCAACAGCCAGTCTTTATCTCTGACATACTGCAACTCACATTCTATTCCAGCTGGAAGGCCACTGAAATTCCCACAACTGCCTGGAATACAACAGGCTTTCAATAAATCAGGATGTAAAAAATCACCCCCTACTGAAAAGGAAACCTGAATTCTGTCCCTAAATACCATTGCTAGAAAAGATGCCTTGAAGAATAAATATAGGAACTTTTTTCCTAAGAGACAGGGGTCTCGCTATGTTGCCCAAGCTGGTCTCGAACTCAAATGAGCCTCATACCTCAGTCTTTCAAGTAGCTAGGACCGCAGGTGAGTGCCATCACGTCTGGCTAATTTTAAAATTCTGTACAGATGAAGTTTTGCTATATTTCTCAGGCTGGTCTTCAACTTGTGGCCTCAAGTGATCCTCTCACATCGATATCCTAAAGAATTACAGGTGTGAACCACTATGCCTGGCCAAGACCAGAAACTTGATATAAGAGCAGTGGTTCAAGCCATGGATCCAAAACAGAATAACCTGGGTGGTTTTTGGTTTGTACTTTCCAAAATCCATATGTCTCAGACTTACTGAATCAGAATCCCCGGGAGAGGAGCCGGGCATGTGTACTTTGGAAAAAGAGTCTCAGGTAGTTCTGAAGCACATCTCTGGTTAGGAACTACTATCTTAGAGCATCTGCAGGAAATAGCCTCTGTCTTTACAGAAAAGCATACACTCAAAGCTGTCACTGCCTGTTCTCCCTCCCTTTCCCCCGGAGACAGACAGGCAAGCCAGACAGTCTATGCCCTAGAGTAGAGAGGGCCTGGATTCAAATACTAGAATCCCTGGGCAAGACAGCACCTGTCTAAGTCTCTGTATACTCATCTGTAGCAGTACCTACCTCACAGAAATCTTAGAAAAATTAAGAGAAATATATGGCAACCACAAATATCAATTTATTTCTAAATGCTCCCACGAATCCAGTGATGTGCTGGTTAAGGTTAGCTTTCAAAAAGAAAACAGAAAACCCAAAACAAAACTCTGATTGAGAAGAAATGAGAACACTCGTGAATCAACACAGGCCAGCTTCTGGACACCACTACAGGAACTGTACTGAGGGGCCCCTGTTTTGTTTTGTTTTTGTTTTCTTTTAGAGGAAGAGTCTCACTATGTTGCCCAGACTGGAGTGCAGCGGCATGATCATGGATCACTGTAGCCTCAAACTCCTAGGCTCAAGCAGTCCTCCGGCCTCGACCTCTCAAGTAGCTGGGACTGCAGGCACATGTCACCACGACTGGCTGATTTTTTGTAGAGACAGAGTCTCACTCTTTGGCCCAGGTTTAACGGGGCCCTTTCACTTCTGTGTCACATAGATGGGCAATGGAGAACATTTCTTGCATGATGGAGCCACCTATAGTGCAAAAAACTACCATCCACTGCTCCTGGGCCCTTCATCCTGGCTGCCATAGATAAAACATGCCAGGAGATGAACACCATTGTCCTAAATATAGTCATTGCCATGAGCAACGGCTCCTGGGTCCATGATGCAATCAGTGCCCTCTCACAGACACTGCTTAGACCCAAGACAACGCTTGCAACGCTACTCTTCTGAATTCGACGATTAGCATTTTTCCATCTACGAGAACAAAGCAGAAGGATCCTCTTGTGTTAGACGTCTAGCTATCTTCTGCATCCATTCTGCAAGTATTTAATGAGCGCCAACCACATTTTAGACACATGAGTGGATGCCAGGAAGATGAAATAGAGCCATTCACTCAGAGGGCTAATGATGTGGTTGGAGAGATAGGCAATAAACAAGTCAACACGTAAACAAAAACACCATTTAAAATAGTGATCAGAGCTACATTAGTGAAGTGATGAGAATAATGAAGAGAAGAAACTGCCTATTAATACACAGATGGAGTGACTTCAGGTAACCTGTAAATGGAGGCCAGAGGAAAGTATGGTAGACAGAATTCTCAGCGGGCCCTCCCCCCCCTAATGTATATGTCCCAGGTGATCCAGTCACTTGGGCTGGGTAGAACCTATAACGTGCCTCTCACCAAAAGAATATGACAAAGGTGGTAGGTACTTTGCAGATGCAATCAAAGTCCCTAGCCTGTGAACTCCGAGTTAATGAAAAGATTATTCTGTGTGGGCCTGTTATACTCAGGTGAGTTCTTTTAAAGATGTTCCAGGCCTTTCCTGACGGGGGAGAATGAAAGCAACAGAGAGACCCTCTACACTAGCTGGTCTTGAAGAAGTCAACAGCTGTCGTGTGAACTGCTATAAGGAAGGAGTGGTCTCTGGAAGCTGAGGGGTTGACTCTAAGGAGTTCCAGATGAGAACACAGCCGGGCCAACTATCTGAATGAAATCTGTGAGTCCCTGAACCCAGCCGAATGATGCCTATCCCATGGAAAATAAGAGAAGATATGCATGTCATTTTTTTTTTTTTGAGTCAGAGCCTCACTCTGTTGCCCAGGCTGGAGTGTAGGGGCATACTCACAGCCAACACAGCCTTGACCTGCTGGGCTCAGGCAATCCTTCCGCCTCAGTCTTCCAAGTAGCTGGAACTACAGGTGCGGACTACCATGCCCGGCTTATTTTTTGATTTATTGCAGAGACAAGGTCTCACCAAGTTGCCCAGGTTGGTCTTGAACCCCAGAGCTCAGGCAGTCCTCTCGCCTCGGCCTCCCAAAGTGCTGGGATGACAAGCTTGAGCCATGGCACTTGGCTGAAATGCATGTCATTTTAAACTACTCCGTGTGTGATAATTTGCCACACCGAACAGAAAACTCATACAGAGGGGAAGGAGCTGGCCATGTGAAGAGGAGGTGGAAGGGCTTTCCAGCAGTGAAAACTGTCCATAAAAAGAGAAAAAGGTCAGAATGTGTCAGAAATTACCAGAAGGCAACTGTAGCTGGAAAGAGGAGGTTCAGAGAAAGAGAGGAACCAGTTGAGGCTATAGTGGTGGCCAGCAGCTAGATTACTTTGCCAGCTCTGTGGAAAGCTGATTACAAAAGGGAGACCAGTCCTGGGGCGCTTTTAGAAACGATGGAAGCTCGGTTAAATTCGAAGCAACAGAAATGTACATAAGAACAGAGTTGTGAGGTTTATGCCAACACCTGCGGATGACCTGGTCTTGGGGCTGAGAGACAGGGAGGGAATCAAGATGAGTATCTGGGGGAACCAGGGTGCCATCTGCCACGTCTTGGAAAAATTCAGGAACTTCATCTTAGGCATGTTACATTTGAGAAGCCCATGGAGAGGTCAAATACAAAGCTGGCTACCAGATCTGGAGGTCCGGTGGGTGGTTTAGGCTGAAGAAGTAAACATGGGCATGATCCACACACAGCCCTGACCCCCCTTAAACAAACTATCCCTGTTCTGTCCCTGGGGGATGCTGCATTTATTCCACCCCGATTCCCAGCCCTTATCTGTACGCTCACTTCTACTTCTTTCTTGCTATACAAGCAATTTGGGGGCAGGGGTTGTTTTATATCTCCTTGTCAGCCTTATAAAGTTTTGTATGTAGTAGATGCTCATTAAATATCTCCTGAATTGAATTGCTGCAAGTTTCAATATAAACTACTGTATGAGTGAATATATGTGTATTTGTGTCTGTCTATAAACACTCTAAATTATGTACAAGACTAAATGAGAATATGGATGAAACAGAGGAAAAAATTGTGGTTCCTATTTCCTTTTCTAGCAATGATACAATTTTAAAGGTAGATTGATATCTAACTTTCACATCTAAGTTCCTCAAGAATAGCAGGTGTTTTGTGAAGTTTTTTTTTTAAATAAAGCAGGATTTATTAAGAGGACAGAAAAGCTCCCAGAGTGGGAGGGGACTCGAAGGGATTGCCCGTGAAGTATTTTTAATCTTGTATTTTTTGTTTGCTTTGCTTTCATTTGGCTCTGATACCGTTTACAGGTTTATTTGTTTTTCTTTCTCAGTGTTTGTCCTACTTTGGAGAGATATAAGCTGATAAATTTTGTGATCATCCGAACATTGTTCATCCTAGCTATTATACTTACATATATATATATATTATTATGACCTTTTGCTGTATAACACTGTGCTTGGTACTATACTGAGAAAAGTCATTCTAGAAAATGTACAGAAGAGGAAACATCCTTTGCCATTCAGAAAATGTTTACAAAAGATACTACGGTAAAAACTACAATTTCAAATGAAAAATAAACAGAAGATTTCCTATTTTAAGATCTCAAATACACCTATCTTATGCACTCCTGTAAACACATTTTAATATTTAAATTTCTGATGTCCTCAGGTGAAAGAGAATCGGTGTCATAATTAAATTTTGTTTTCATTAAAGTGATTTTATTTTATTTTATTTTATTTTATTTTTATTTTTTGAGTTGGAGTCTCATTCTGTCACCCAGACTGGAGTGCAGTGGCCGCTCCCGGCCACGGCAGGCTCGACCTGCTGGGCTCCGGTGATCCTTCCACCTCAGCCTTCCAAGTAGTTGGAACTACAGGCACGTGCTACCACACCCGGCTAATTTTTGATTTATTTTAGAGATGAGGTCTCACCAAGTTGCCCAGGCGGGTCTCGAACCCGCGGGCTCAGGCAATCCACTCACCTCAGCCTCCCAAAGCGCGGGATTACAGGCTGAGCCACCAAGCCCGACTCATTAAAGTGATTTTAATGTGAACAGTCCTTTCCTTCATTTAAAAATTATTTACACTGTAGCTCTGTAACGTGAAAAAAATCAGAAATATATACTCAATAATGAATAAATGATTAAATAATTATGATATATCCATAAAATCATCCATGTAGCCATTAAAAATCATGGTATCTATTTCATTTTCTTTTTTTTTTTTTTTTTTGAGTAAGAGTCTTACTCTGTAGCACAAGCTAGAGTGCAATGGCACAATCACGCCTCACCACAGCCACTACCTCGAGGCTCAGGCAACCCTTTCGCCTCTATAAGCATGCTCCATCACACCCAGCTAATTTTTTCTTTTCTTGTAGAGACAAGGTCTCACTTTGTTGCCTAAAGTGGTCTTGAACTCTTGAGCTCAAGCAATCTTCTTGCCTCAACCTCCCACAGAGCTGGGATTACAGGCATGAGCCACCATGCCCGGTCAAAAATTATGATTTCAAAGAATACTTTCAAACACAGGAAAAGGCCAGGACGGTGGCTCATGCCTGTAATCTAGCACTTTAGGAGGTTGAGGCAGGAGGAAAATTTAGGCCCAGCCTAGGCAACACAGCAAGAGCTTGTCTCTATAAAAATCAAAAAGTTAGTCAACCATGGTGGCGCATGCCTGTGATCCCTGCTCCTTGGGCAGCTAAGGCAACAGAATCACTTGTGCTCAGAAGATTGAGACTGCAGTGAGCCGTGATCATGCCTCTGCACTCCAGCCTGGGTAATAGAGTGAGACCCCAACTCAAAAAAAAAAAAAAAGGAAAAGTACTATGATATATTAAGTGAAAAGTGTTTAAACCTATACAGCATAATCCAAATATTGTAAGACTATGTATATATGGGGTTCTATACTTACAGAAATGCAACATATATAGCAAAGAGAGAAAACGGAAAGAAAGTCTAACAAAGTAATAGCAGTGGTTATCTTTGGTACTGGAACTATAAGTAATTTTAATTTTGTTACACATTTTTCCATAAATGTTATTCAGGGTACAAATATTCCCTTTATTGTGAAGAAAAGAAAGACTTCTTTTCCAAAATAACCCATCCTAACCTTACCCGATCCTTCTCTTTCCTGTGTTCTTGATGAAGAACTTGAATTTGAGCTGTCCACTTGCTTTCCTACGAAAGAGTAAAGAAATAGCAATGTATGTGCATCTGTGACAATAAAATCTACACAAAATGGAAGCTTCCTTTTCAGTGGGTACCTATGAAATCCAACCAACACCCTGGTGAAATTTTGGCTAGTATTTTTTAGAACATATATGGTTGAAAATGTTTAGACACATTTGTACCAGGTATTCATCTTTACTATACGGCAGGGATCAGTCAGCAAAGATTTTCTATTTAGGAGGTAACAGTAGATACTGCAGACTCTGGGGGTCAGATGACCCAGGTACAACTATTGTTAGTGGGAGAACAGCCACAGGTAAGAATGGGTGTGATCACGGTCCCATAAAAATGTATTTACAAAATACAGGCTGTAAAATGTATTTACAAAAATTGGGCCAGGCACAGTAGCCCACACCTGTAATGCTAGCACATTGGGAGGCCAAGATGGGAGGACTGCTTGAGCCCAAGACTTCAAGACCAGCCCAGGCCACATAGCCAGACCTCATAGCTACCAAAAAATAATAATAATAATCAAAAAATAATTAGCCAGGTATGGTAGTGCACGCCTATAGTCCCAGCTACTCCCTATAGTCCCAGCTACTCATGAGGCTGAAGAGGGAAGATTGCCTGAGTCCAGGAGATTGAGGCTGCAGTGTGTGGTGATCGTGCCACTGCACTCCAGCTGGGCAACAAAGTGAGACTGACTCAAAACAAACAAACAAACGAAAAACATTTATTTATAAAAATAGGTGCTACTTTGGCAACCTGGGGGGTCAAAAGGATACACCTCACTTCTGAGTCCCTGGGTTCTGAACTGACAACACAGCTCACAGGAAAGACACAGAAGAAATGCAGGTGGGACCTTAGGATTTTATAAGCATGTCCTTCAATTCATGAGTGACAAACTGTGGTCTCCAGCCTGCTGGGAGCAACTGTCAACAGTTTAGTTCAGGACACAGCTCCCGGTCTCCTACCATGTGCCAGGCACCTTGCTGGGCAGGCACTAGCAAGCTAGGAGAAGATTAAGAGACAGACCCTGCTCTGTGCTGGAGGAAAGTGGATGCAGTGAGAGCGACTGAGAATGCCCGTAGAATGTGTATGTGATCAGGTCCCGTTTGGGGAATACAGACATGCTACGGCCCAGAGGTTCAGGAGATGAACTCTCTGGAAGAGGTGCCTCATTCTCATACTGGAGAATGAGAACTGGGGGATGCATGACAGACAAGATGGCACTAGAGCAAAGGCAGGAAGCAGAATGCTGCGTTCTCAGGAAAGCAAAGAATAGTGGGAGATGGCACAGAGTCCAGAGCCTGAAGGACCCTGCGAGCTGGATAAGGATTCTGGACTTCCCTCTATGAAAAATGGAGGGTTGGCTGGGCTTGGTGGCTCAGCCTGTACTCCCAGCACTTTGGGAGGCCAAGGCGAGTGGACTGCCTGAGCCCGCAAGGTTCAAGACCACCCTGGAGAACTTGGCAAGACCTTGTCTCTACAATCAATCGAAAATTAGCCAGGTATGGTAGCAAGCGTCTATAGTTCTGGCTACTTGGAAGGCTGAGATGGAAGGATCACTGGAGCCCAGCGGATCGCCACTGGGGTGGCCATGAGTATGCCACTGCACTCCAGTCTAGGTGTCAGAGTGAAATTCCAACTCAAAAAAAAAAGGAGGGTCACTGAAGGACTTTAGAAAGGACAGGGACATGGGCAGCCTGGCTACAGTGGAAAAGGTGGACTTGAAGGAGGAAAAGACGTGAGTACTGAAGCAAGAAGCAGTGGTCCCTATTTCCAAAATTCACATGCACTGTAAACTACTTCACAAAGCCAAGGAAGGAAGGAAGGCACTGCAGCTGCCGCCCACGTCACACACCTGGTTATGAAGGAGCTGCACCACATTCTGCGAGGGACGGTCTTCTGTAAACTCGTGGGCGTCTTCTAATGTGCCTATGTTGGACTTCACCTGCATACTGCACTTCTGGATTTCTGACAATTGCTGTAAGATAAAATTCAAGATCAACAGTAGAAATGGTAGACTTTTATAAGACATAGTCAGGTGCAGTGGCTCAAGCCTGTAATCCCAGCACTTTGGGAGGCGGAGGCGAGAGGATTGCCTGAGCTCAGGGGTTCGAGACCACCCTGGACAATTTGGTGAGACCTTGTCTCTACAATAAATAAATAACAAAAAAAAAGCCAGGCGTGGTAGCGCACACCTATAGTTCCAACTAGTTGGAAGGCTAAGGCAGAAGGATCGCCTGAGCCCAATAAGTCGAGACTGCGGTGGCTGTGAGCGTGCCACTGCACTTCAGCCTGGGTGACAGAGTGAAATTCTAACTTAAAAAAAAAAAAAGACAAACATAGAATAAAACCAGGGAGCGTGTGGTCATGTATTAAGCCTGACACTCCATGTATTCCCCCCACTTTCCCTTCCCTGTGACTTTACTGGCTTGTTTTTACTGCTTTCTGGTCTTTCCGTCACAATATGTACAGAGTGCCAGCCCGCGGCAACAGAGCAAGACCTCGTCTCTACAAAAAAAAAAAAAATCAAAAAAATAAATTAAAATTAGGTAATCCTCCTACCTCAGTCTTCAAATAGCTGGGACTACAAGCACTTGCCACCACACTTGGCTAATTTTTTGATTTCTTGTAGAGACAAGGTCTCGCCAAGTTGCCCAGGCTCGTCTCAAGACCCTGGGATCAGGCAACCCTCTCTCCTCCACCTCCAAAAGTGCTGGGATTATAGGCATGAGCTACTGCATCTGGTCTTGGTCTTAACATTCTAATCTTAGACAACAAGTCCTTAAGTTTTTGATGGGCACCTAACAGGTGCCAGAAATAGAAGAGCTGGGTGCAGGTTGGGCACGGTGGCTCACACCTATAATTCCAGCACTTTGGGAGGCCAGCCTGGGCAACTTGGCGAGACCTCATCTCCACAATAAATTAAACAATTAGCTGGGTGTGGTGGCTTGTGCCTGTGGTTCCAGTTACTTGGAAGGCTGAAATGGAAGGATCGCCTGAGCCCAGCAGGTCGAGGCTGCGGTGGCCGTGAGCATGCCACTGCACTCTAGCCTGGGCGACAGAGTGAGACTCCGACTCCAAAAAAAAAAAAAAAAAAAAAAGAGCTGGGTGCAGCTGGTTCTTCTGTTAAGATAATTCAGTGAGAGGCCCACACCACTAGGGACATGACGTTTTAATTTTACCCTTCGCTTTTGATGTTATTGTCAAAGTTACAGCAAAAATTCTCAGCAAACCACAGGAAGTAACATGTTAACTTCAAAAATGAAAGACTGGAAACATGCTTCTCTGCTCCTTACCGTGTGGGCTGCTCACAGTGATTTCGTTTCAAAAAAGTGCAGTATGGAAAAGCAGAAAAAACTGTCAAACACTACTTCAGCCAGTTGATCAGGGTCGGCGGCAGCCGTCATAAATCATGTACGTTTATGACATAAGGTCTCAAATGAAACATTCAACTCTACGGCTCCAGCACAAAAGCACCTTAGTTAGAATAATGATCAAGCACAGCTGGGTCCCAGTAAAAGCTCACTTACGGATACCAAAATGCAAACTTCATGAAATTCTCATGTGTCACAAAATAGTCTTTTTTCCCCAACTGTTTAAAAACGTTGAAACCTATTCTTAGTTAGCAGCCCGTACAAAAACAGGTGGCATGCCAGATTTGGTCCATAGGCCGTAGTGGGCCGACCTCAAAATATCCCTGTATTTCTATTTATAAAACTTGTTGGCCCCTAGAGGGAGCTCAAGGATCTTCTCTAAGCTCTCTTCAGTCTTTCCTTTTACCCCAAAGATGACTCAGATCAAACCCACACAGTGAGTAGAGAATTCATAGCGGGAAGATACTGGTTGGCTGCTATTTGAGGAAGAAGTTCAGGTATAGTCTGTGCATGCGACAAGGGCAGCGTGGACCAGGGCTAGTCCCGCAAGGCAGAGGGGCTCATTGAGCCATATCCTGCTTGCTGTAGAGACCACAGCCTCCTCATTAGCCAGGCCTGGGGTGAGGAGGGGGCAAGGCGAAGGTTCTCGCTGTCTTTCTGGGTCTGCTGCCTTCTCCCACAGGACAATAGAAAGTTCCAAAACTTGGGCAGCCGTTTATGGTTCAAGGCTAACCTAACCAGATAAGAAAAGAGGGGTCTTCTTCTATGATCTGACCACAAGTGTTCTACACTGGGGTTTGGGGCCAAAGCTCCCACTCTCGGCGAAAACGACTTCTCTGACTTGCTTATGCTCCCTCGACATTCTCAGGGAGGAGGATGTCTGCACCAGGGCATCAGAAAGTAACTCCTAGATCCTCTAGCCATAATGCCACCCTGAAACCACCTCTCAAGGCAGCCAATACTATGAGAACTTCTGGGCTTCATACTTACATATTCTAATGCTGAATTCTTGGAAGTTAATTCTTTAAACTCCTTCCCCAGCATCTCCTTGATTTTCTCAATTTCATCAGTTAGTTTCTCCTTTTCTTCTTTTTTCCATCTATCAAATAACTTCAAAAACTCTTCCTCTTTTGTTTTCTGCATCTCATACTCCTGAAATTATTTTATACACAGCTTTGGAAGTTATGGTATAAAGCAAATATGTGATATTTAAAATCAATGGTCATAGCTTCACTTCAAGTGAGTTAAGCTAGCATTGCTTACTTCAGTTAGGCTTTAGTAATGCTTCCTGTAACGGCAGATCTGTGTACAATGGTCTGTGCCTTTAGTGTTCTAAACTGAAGGCAGCACACATAATCCTTCTTTCTTTATACCCCAAATTTCCCTTAAAATACCAACACAGAGGCCTAAGGCCTGCAGCTTTCTGAGTTCTATGAACTTATATAGAAGTCATACGATAACAGGTAAAATGTAAAGATATTTTAAAAGAAAAAGTATTGAGCAGTAGTAAAATCCTTTCCGTGTCATCATCCAGCTGTCCCAGTACCACTTATTAAAGAGACTGGTCTTTCCCCATTGAATGATCAATTTCAGTAGAGTAGTCCCCCACCATACCCCAAAAATACAAATTCAGATTTACAGGAGCTAGATTCAAGGTCTAGTCAATCAGCAAGTGATTTTTCTTTTTCTTTTTTTTTTGAGTTGGAGTCTCACTCTGTCGCCCAGACTGGAGTGCAGTGGCCGCTCCCGGCCACCGCAGCCTCAACCTGCTGGGCTCCGGTGATCCTTCCGCCTCAGCCTTCCAAGGAGCTGGAATTACAGGCATGCGCTACCACGCCCGGCTGATCTTTTGATTTATTGTAGAGTTGAGGTCTCGCTGCCCAGGCGGGTCTCGAACCCACGGGGTCAGGCAATCCACTCACCTCAGCCTCCCAAAGGCGCGGGATTACAGGCTGAGCCACCGAGCCCGGCTAGCAAATGATTTTTCAGTGGACTTCAGAGATTTAAAAATCTATAAAGCAATGAGTCCTAACAGACATATACAGTATATTGCACCCAACAATGGCAGAATATGCATTCTTCTCTCAAAGCAGCCAATACTATGAGAACTTCTGGGCTTTTTCTTTTAAAGTATCTTTACATTTTGCCTATTACCTGTGCAGGGAATATTCAGATGTACTTGTCCAAAAAGTGTTTCCCAAATTTAAAAAGACCAAAATTGTGCAAAGAATCTCCTTAGACCACAAAAGAATGAAGCCAGAAATCAATAACAGAAGGAAATTGGAAAATATGTGGACATTAACGGCATACTCTTAACCAATGAGTCAAAGAAAAAGTCACTAAGGAAATTAGAAAATACTTCGAAATGAGTGAAAATAAAAGCATAATATACTAAAATTTATGGGATGCAGCCAAGTAAGTGGTCAGATGAAAATATATAGCTGTAAAAGCCTACATTTAAAAAGATCTTAAATCAATAACCTAATTTTATGTCTAAGAAACTAAAAAAGATAAACCAAACTCAAAGCCAGCAGAAAGAAAAAAATAATGAAGATTAAAGCAAGGATCAATAAAACAGAGACTATAAAAACAATAGAATCAATGAAAACAAAAATTGATTCTCTGAAAAGATCAACAAAATTGACAAACCCCTAGCTACCCTGACTAAGAAATGAAAGTGAGGACACTGAGAAATTAAAAGGATAAGAGAATATAACTAACAACTGTATACCAGCAAATTAGATATTCTAGATAAAATGAACAAATTTCTAGAAACACAGAAATCTCCAAAGTTAATTAAAAAAAAAGAAAATTTGAACAGATTTTCAGTAAGTAAACAGATGGAATAAGTAATCAAACACCTTCCAACAAAAAAAAAAGTCCAAGACCAGATGGCGTCATTGGTTAATTTCTACTAAACACTAAAAAAAAAAACTCATAGAAGCTACACACAGGTCGGGCTCAGTGGCTCAGCCTGAAATCCCAGCACTTTGGGAGGCCGAGGTGAGTGGATTGCCTGAGCCCGCGGATTCGAGACCCGCCTGGGCAACTTGGTGAGACCTCATCGCTACAATCAATAAAAAAGTAGCCAGGCATGGTAGCGCGCGCCTGTAGTTCCAGCTACTTGGAAGGCTGAGGTGGAAGGATTGCTGGAGCCCAGTAGTTCGAGGCTGCGGTGGCCGGGTATGGCCATTGCACTCCAGTCTGGGCGACAGAGTGAGACTCCAACTCAAAAAAAAAAGAAGCTACACACACACACACACAAACCTACGAAAGTAATAAAAAAAAATTCCTCAAAATTGCAGAATCCAAGATCAAAAAGCAAAAGCCAGTTGTTTCTATAAACACTGAAAAATCCCAAAAGGAAATTAAGAAAATATTCCATTTACAATAGCATTCCAAGGAATAAAATAACTAGGAATAAATTTAAAAGAATTCTACACTGAAAACTATAAAACATCACTGTAAAAATTATTATTATTCTTATATTATTTTGAGTCGGAGTCTCACTCTGTTGCCCAGGCTGGAGAGCAGTGGCATGCTCATGGACACCGCAGCCTCGATCCGCTGGGCTCAGGCGATCCTTGCACCGCAGCCTTCCAAGTATCTGGAACCTAGGCATGCACCACTGTGTCTGGCTAATTTTTATTTATTTATTGTAGAGATGAGGTCTTGCCAAGTTGCCCAGGTTAGTCAAATTGGTTGCTGGAATTATAGGCATGAGCCACTGCACCCGGTCTGTTGCAAAAGTTAAAAAACACCTAAATAAATGGAAAAACATCCCATGTTCATAGATTGGAAGACTTAATAGTGTTAAAATGTCAATACTCTCCAAAGCAATCAACAGATTCAATGTAATCCCATTCTAATAGCCTTTTTTGCAGAAATTGAAAAGTCAACTCTCAAATTCATATGGAAGTGCAAGGGGCCCCAAATAACCAAAACAATTTGAAAAGAACAAAGTTAGAGGATGCACACTTCCAGATTTCAAAGTATACTACAAAGCTATACTTGTCAAAATAGTATGGTACTGGCACAAGGACAGACACACAAACCAATAGAATGGGATTGAGAGTCTAGAAATAAACTCAAACATCCACTGCCAATTGGTTTTAAGCAAACCATTCAATGAGGAAAAAATAAATGGTACTGAGATAAGTGGATAACCACATGCAAAAGAATAAAGTTCGATCGCCATCTCACTCTACATGCAAAAATTAACTCAAAAGAATCAACGACCTAAATATAAGAGCAAAAGCCATGAAACAGAGAATATAAAGAACTCTTAACAGGTTAACAACAAAAAGACAAACAACCCAATTTAAAAATGGGCAAGGGACTTAAACATTTCTCCAAATAAGATACACAAATAGACAACAAGCACATTGGTTATTACGGATATACAAATCAAAACCCCAATGAGATAACACTTCACACCCACTGGGATTGCTTTAATTAAGAAAAGTATAATAAGTGTTAGCAAGGATGTGGAGAAATATAAACACTACTTGTGAACATGTAAAATGGTGCAGCTGCTCTGGAAGACAGTGTGGTGGTTCCTCAGAAAGTTAAACATGGGATTACCGTATGGCGCAGCAATTCTACTCCTAGGTGTGTATTCAAAAAGAAAGAAAGAAAAAACATGTCCACACAGAAACTCCCGGCCAGTGTTTACAGCTGCATTATTCATCATAGCCAAAAGGTGGAAACAACTAAATGTCTATCAATAGATGACTGGATAAATGTATTGTAGTATATACGAAAATACAATGGAATATTATTCAGCAATGAGAGAACAAAGTCTGGATGCATGCAACAATGTAGATGAACCTCAAAATCGCTATGCTAAGTTAAAAAGGCAGATAAAAAAAAGTCACATATTATGTTTTGGATACATATAGAGAGAGAAAAAAAGAGACAGCATGTGCCAAAAAATGCATACATATTTTAAGAAAGAAAAAATGTATACCAATAACCAAAGATGAATACAAGTCACATTTGACTTCTGCAATTGCAAGAGGTGCTCAAAGTGTCCAGACACTTCTGAAAAGTACTTCGAAAAGTAATACATAGATAACACCTCTTAAAATGAGTATAGGCCAGGCACATGGGCTCACACCTATAATCCTAGCATTTTGGGAGGCTGAGGTGAGAGGAATGCCTGAGCCCAGATTCGAGACCAGTCTGGGCAACTTAGTGAGACCTCATCTCTACAATAAACAAAAAATTAGCCAAGCGTGGTGGCACATGCCTGTAGTTCCAGCTACTCGAAAGGCTGAGGCAGAAGGATCACCTAAGCCCAGCAGGTCGAGGCTGCGGTGGCCATGAGCATGCCACTGCACTGTAGCCTGGGTGACAGAGTGGGGCTCCAACTCAAAAAAAAAAAAAAGAGTATACATTTTTTGGCACCCCGCCAATGTATATAGAATAGGCAAATTTATAGAGAAAAGAAGATTAGTGGTTACCAGGGGATGGGGATAGTGAGAATGGCAGCTTACCGAGTACAGGTTATTTTTATGGGGTACTAACAAAATTTGAAACTAGAGTCGATGGTTGTACCACACAGTGAATACATAAAGTGCTACTGAACTGTACATTTTTGTTGTTGTTGTTGTTGCCAAGCCAAACTTTATAAGAGACAAAGGAAAATAAAAGGTAACTAGAAGGCAGAAGTTCATTATCATTATCTTAAATCAGATACTCCAGAATTTCCCACTACTGAACCTCCACTAAAATTTTTACTTTTTCCCACCTCGCTGGGAGCGTGACACTGTGCTCCAGCCTGGGCGACAGAGTGAGACTCCAACTTGGGGGAAAAAAAATGAAAAGAAATAGTGTTTTGGTATTAAATTCAGGGATAAGATGAACCCATGTTCAACATATGTGCATACAGACACTAAAGCCCAAGGCAGATAATCTAGCTGTGCCCAGTGTTTGGTGACCGGCTGAATCTCTGTTCTCTAGTAGAACAGACCGTGAGCTTCTGAAGAGCAGGAACCATGCTTTGGTCATTTTGTATTTCTCCAATACGATCGCACAGTGTTCATACGAAGAGCCACTCACAGAACTTGTTAAATTCAAGAAAACAAGAAAACAATTTTTGTAAAACAGTTAATGACACTTTCAGTTTTGCATTCACTGAAGGGATATTCTTGTGAACTTGAGGAGTATGTGATTTTTAGCATCTTTACTATATATTTTTCCCAATATGGATGTCTTTTTGTGCTTTTTTTTTCTGGTAACAATATGCAGCTAAGGTGGGAGTGGACCTGAACTTAAGATGTTCAAACAATGCCATTCTTTTTCCCATTTTGGAGTGAAACTATTAGAGGGAAAAGAGAGAGAATTAAACTACATTAAATGAAAACCTCCAAGTCAATAGTAAGGAAAAAATTACAGGTTTAGTCAATGATAATGACTGGTATTTAAAATATATTTTAATGAAAACACTTTCTCACCATCTTTTAATCAAAATGATCTAGCTGGGCACTGTGGCTCACGCCTGTAATCCCAGCACTTTGGGCGGCAGAGGTGAGAGAACTGTCTGAGCCCATGGGTTCGCGACCAGCCTGGGCAACTTGGCAAGACCCCATCTCTACAAGAAATCAAAACATTACCCAGGCATGGTGGCGCACGCCTGTAGTTCCAGCTACTTGGAAGGCTGAGGCGGAAGGATCGCCTGAGATCCAGCAGGTCGAGGCTGCAGTGGCCAGGAGCGTGCCACTGCACTCCAGCCTGGGTGGCAGAGTGAGACTCCGAAGCTGCTCTGGCATTAAGATTTAATTGCTTTCTGCTCCACAGGTTTTATTCAGATGCCACCATACTACCAACTCCCCAGTCCTCTTAAGGCATGTGTTAGACATGTCCTCCTCTGTTGGAAGTCCTTGTGGCAACTTCAGGGGTTTGATTCTTATCAAATGTTTAACCACTTTCAGTTTTACATTCACTGAAGGGATATTCTTGTGAACTTGAGAGGTATGTGCCTTTTAGCATCTGTATTATATCTTTTTTCCAATATGGATGTCTTTTTGTGTTTTTTATTCTGGTAACAGTATGCAGCTTATGAGGGTTCTGTGGGTCCCCACCATATTTTTCATAATCTACAGATGAAAGCTGAAACACTTTATCTGGAATTCTTGACCTCGTAAATTTGTGACGAATTCAATCCATACAAATGAGAGATTCCACACCTTTCGCCATAGTCTGTAGTTTGCCTGGGGTTTTCTCAACTACTGAGTGCAAAATCCCTACCATAAGCATAGTGTCTGTTCTCTTTAGAGGTGGTGCCTGCTGAGTGTTCAGCCTCAACTTTCCCCTGAACTTTATACATTTTAAAAGAATCAATTGTTTCAAAAAGATAGTGGTACACTCATGTTCATAGCAGCATCATTCACCATGGCTAAAAAGTAGGAGCTACCTAAGTGTCCAACAACAGATGAATGGGCACGCGAAATGTAGTATACATGCAACAAAATAATATCAGCTTGAAAAAGGGAGGAGGCCGGGTGCAGTGGCTCAGCCTGTAGTCCCAGCACTTTGGGAGGCCAAGGCGAGGGGACTCCCTGAGCCCAGGGGTTTAAGACCAGCCTGGGCGACTTGGTGAAACCTTGTCTCGACAATAAATCACAAAAACTAGCCAGGCAGTGGCATGTGTCTGTAGCTCCAGCTACTTGGAAGGTTGAGGCGGAAGGATCACCTAAGCCCAGCAGGTAAAGGCTGCGGTGGCCGTGAGCATGCCACTGCACTCCAGCCTGGGCGACAAGAATGAGACTCCAACTCAAAAAAAAAAAAAAGAGAGAGAAAGAAAAGGGAAGGAAATTCTGACACACACTACAGCATAGATGAACCTTAAGGACATTATGCTAAGCAAAAGAAGTCAATGACAAAAAGACAAACGTTCGGTGGGCGTACAGTTTCAGTTTTGCAGTATCAAAAACTTCTGGAGACCGGTTGCACAACGATATGAATTACTTAACACTACACAGTACACTTAAAAATGGTTAAAAAGGTAAACTGTGTATGTCTTTTACCACAGTGAAACCAAAAAATGAGAGAGAGGCCAGGTGGAAGACAGAGGGCTCTGTCACTTATTCTGTGAAAGGACTTGCTGTTTCCCTTAGAAAGTCATATTTCCTATCCCCCATGGCGGGGGGACAAGTAAGAATAGCGCATACTATCACTTCAACAGTCACAAGAAATGTTCTTTGATGGGCTCACTCTTTCCATTAAGGTCTATCCTGTTAGATCAGCAATGGCATCCTTAGTACCCACAGTGAACCTGCAACAACCCACAGTAGTCAGAACTCACACATCACAGCCTTCTTTCCTCCCGAGGCCCTGAGTCTCTCAGAACAAGACATTTCAAGCACACAACAGGCTGACACATAGGTCCCACAGATGAGAAGGAAGAAGGAAAAAAACAGATTTGATGCATGAGGGGGACTCTAACCACTTTTGGTGGCTTTGAATAGACAGGAAGAAGGCTACGAGCCAAGGAGTATGAGCCTCACAGGGAAATCAGGAGCAGCCCTCAGAGGACAGCCAGAAAGAAAGTGTGGACCTCTGTCCCTACACGTGCAAGGGATCGAATTCTGCCAACAACACAAATAAGCAGGAAATAGTTTCTCCTCTGGCCTCCAGTAAGGGAGCCCTGCTGACACCTTGATTTTAGCCTAGGGAGAAATACTGGCTCGCAGAAACGTACTGTAAGATAATAAATATGGGTTGTTTTAAGCACAAAAAAGTTAATCATGTTATGTAAATTTCACCTCAATATTTTTTTAAAAAAACAGCCTTGGCCGGATTACAGAGTGGCTCACACCTATAATCCTAGCACTTTGGGAAGTTAAGGTGAGAGGACTGCTGGAGCCCAGGAGTTCAAGACCAGCCTGGGCAATATAGCAAGACCTTGCCTCTAAGAACATTTTTAAAAAAATTATCTGGGCAGGGTGGCATGCCCAGACAACTGTAGTTCCAGTTACTTGAGAGGCTAAAGCGGAAGGATCGCCCGAGTCCAGGAGTCTGAGGCTGTGGTGAGCCATGATTGTACCACTGCACTATAGCCTGGGTGACAGGGTGAGCCCAGACTCAACAACAACAACAACAAAAGCCTTAAAAAATAGAGAACTGTATTTCCAGTAATATGCTTTATAATAAGATAATAAAGAGTAGACTGGCAATAGAAAATACAATCACATTTTATCAAGTTCTCTACAAACTCCTAAGTTCCTCTGTTTATTAGAGTCTATGGCACAACCAATTAACACACAAGTTAACTGTAATGACATATGATTCATTGAGATTAAAATATCATAGAGGGCTGGGCATGGTGGCTCAAGCCTGTAATCCCAGCACTTCAGGAGGCCAAGGTGAGAGGACTGCCTGAGCCCATGGGTTCAAGAACAGCCTGAACAACTTGGTGAGACCTCATCTCTACAATAAATAAATAAATAAAAAATTAGCCAGGCATGGTGGCATGCACCTGTAGTTCTGGCTACGTGGAAGGCTGAAGTAGAAGGATCGCCTGAGCCCAGCAGGTCGATGCTGGGGTGGCTGTGAGCGTGCCACTGCACTCCAGCTTGGGCAACGGAGTGAGACTCCGACTCAAAAAAAAAAAATACCATAGAGTACTGCCTCGTACCTGAGAGAATCTGACCGCAAGGGTGTGCTGTGCAGCCTCTAGCTGAGACTTGGTGAGCTGCAGCTGATCCTTCAACACGTCCACCTCACTCTGGAGCTTATCGGTCTGAGCCTTTTTCCCATACTCAGCTGCAACAGAAAGTCTCATTAAAACACCATCTCTTATGAAACGTATCTGAAAACTTATAGGGTATGGTCCTATTAATAAGACAAAGGAAACTGCCCTTACTTGGGATATTATTACTTGTTGCATGCCACATTAGCCAATTTTTGCTCTTGGAGTATTTCTTTGGAGTCCTTTGCATTTTGGGGTGCTGAATTATTTTTAGCAGATTTTTTTTCAGCCACTGTGTTGAGGTTGGGTTATCCTACATGGTGAGAGCCCTGTTTGAGGAGTAATCATGGTGACAAGGAATAATCCGAGCTGCTCTGACCTGGCAGCACTCTGGGCTCTTCTCAGAGAAGCTTGTCTCAATCAGAGAAGACAAGCAACGACCTTACTCAGGAACCACCATAATGAAATCTCTATGGTCACTATCCTTCCAGCTCCCACCAAACTCTCCTGCGGACCCCATGATTGCTGATACAAGCAGTGGGCTGGCATTCAAAATGCAGACTCGGGCCATGTCCTATCCACTGGGGCCAAGGCAAGATACTGAAAAGTTGTAAAAGGAAGCAACAAGTGAAGGGAAGAATACTTATGCACATGTACTTACATGCAGATGTACACATGACTGAATGAATATACATGTGTCTGTGAGAGTAGACATGAAAGGTATGGAAACCAAAGTAGAAAGTCAGAATCTCAAAGATGACCTGAAGAGATAATACTCATTTCAGAGTCTGAAACACCCTCTGAAACGAGTATGAGATAGAATAAGATACTGAAACAGAAGAGAAAGAAGGTCAGTTTCACACTGAAGAATGGTAGGTTCATTAAAATATTTTATCTTTCCAATTTCTCCAATATAGTGCTAAATTTTATCAGTAGTCCAAGGCTTATAAACGGGACTTTCTGCTACTTATTTTGTTTCTACAGAGCTTAGCTATTTCTTAAGTAAATCTATTTACTTCCCTGAGATGGGCAGGAGTAGAAACAGACTGGCCCAAAGTGGAGATAAATGCAGGTATTTAGTAGCAAGCTAAGCACACACATCTCGATCCTGAACACCTTTAAGATCAGGACGAGAATTTCTGTGGGCTACCGCGGCAACCTGCAGAAAACTTTGATCTGCTCATGGACAAAGAGACCTTACAAATTTGCTTTTGAGAATATTTAAATACAATAAGTCCCCTACAAACGAACCTTCAAGTCACGAACTTTCAAAGATGCAAATATGCATTCTCATGTCTAATCACGTAGGTTAATTCACATGTCTGGCGTACATTGCCAAATGCATGCATCCTCTGCAAGTGATTGTGTTTTTGTGTACTTTACATATAGTACTGTAGAGAGTACAGTAGTACAGTACCTTTATTTCAAGCCCAGGATATCTGGAAGCCAGCGAAAAAGCTGCAGTGTTGTAGCTGGTACTAAACAGCTGATTGTGTTAATTGGGTACCTAGGCTAACTCTGCTGGACTTACAAACAAACTAAACTTATAAACATGCTCTTGGAATGAAACTCATTCGTATGTAGGGGACTTGCTATAGTGGGAAACCTGGTTCCTAGGTAAGCCACAGAGTCCCCTCCCCTCTCTTGTGGCTTCATTTCCCCCTCTTATTTCGGTTAGTTCCCATCAGCACACAAACACATCTGAGTATCTTCCACATCTCCCATGAAACAAAAGGTCTCCCTTAGTCCCACATTTCTATCCAGATGATGCGTCATGTCTCTGCTTTCCTTCCCAGTAAACGCTGTTGAAACCCAATAATTGGAACCGACAGAACCACTCCCCCGCGACCCCCAGCTCAGCTCACTCAAACTAGGCTTCTGTCCCCACCAGTCCTGAAGTTACAACGGTCAATTCTCAGCCTTCATCTTACTCTTTGTCTCAGGAACATTTGACACAACCGACCCTTGCCTCCTTTGTGAAATACTTTTCCCTTGGTTTCCATGACAAATACATGTCCCAAGTTTCCCTCCTGCCTTGGCAGAGGCTATTTCCTACCCTCCACTGCCACTCTTCCAGAGCTCCTGCCTTTGGGAAAGCCTCAAGGCTGGCCTCACCACCTTCCCTTGTCTATCCAGGTGAGCCCAGCCAGTCCAGCTCAACTCCAATCACCCCCGGATTTCTATTCTATCTCCAGTTCAGGTCTCCAGCCCTCAAGCTGCAGTCCTCCAGACTTACACCTGAGTGTCTATCATACGTGTGATGGAAACACACCCATGGGCAACACAGACCCTCCCATTCTCCTTCCTCCTTCAAACTACTTCCCACCCCCAGCTCTCCATGACAGGAAATGTCACCGCCATTCACCCAAGCACGGAGGACAGAAACCCAGGGTCATCTGTGCTTTGTCTCTTGCTCTCACGCCAAATCACACCTCTGTAAGCTCTGGGCCTACCTCCCATCTGCTAGGGGACCACCCTGGTCCAGGCCCCCATCTCTCTCCCTTGGGCTGCGATCGCAGCCTCTTCACTTATCCACCTGCTTCCATGGCTGCCCCCTCCAGTCTAGTCGCCACCTGCAGCTAGAGGGATCACTTTAGGGCAAAAATTAGATCAGATCCCTCCCCAGTCTAAGGTCCTCCAACAACTCCCCATTAAACATTTAAAAAGTCCGCATTCCAGTCCAGGGTCTTCAGGGATTCCTATGAGCAGGACCCTACCACGCCAGCCTTACCATATACCATGACCTTGCCCACTCTACTCACCCAGCCTCCTTTCTGTTCCTCAAATATATCCCTTACAATGAGTGTTCCCTTTGGCTGGTATACCCTTTTCCCAGATTCTCCACAGGGTGGAACCTCCTTGTCATTCCCATTAGATGTTACCTCCTCAGCAAGGACTTTGCTGAGCACCTGGTGTCATTCTCCACCCCGTTCTCCTGTGTGTGTGTGTGTGTGTGTGTGTGTGTGTGTGTGTGTGTGTGTGTGTGTATGTGCTTAGTCAGAGACTCACTCTGCTGCCCAGGCTGGAGTGCAGTGGCACGTTCATGGCCACCACAGTCTCTACCTCCTGGACTCCGACGATTCCTCCACCTCAACCTTCCAAGTTGCTGGAACTACAAGCACACGCCACCACACACGGCTAATATTTTGCTTTATTGTAGAGACAAGGTCTTACTAAGTTGCCCAGGCTAGTCTTGAACCCTGTGCTCAGGCAATCCTCTCACCTCCGCCTCCCAAAATGTTGGGATTACAGGCGTAAGCCACCATGCCCGGCCTCTCTATGTTATTATTATAACCCATTTGCCACTGTTTGAGAAGAATTACTCATTTATGTGTTTAAATGTGTCTTCTCAGTCTCACATTGGAACATTAATATTCTAGAGAGTAGGGCTTCTCTGTTTCACTTGCAGTTGTCTCCCCAGCACCTAGAGCACGGCTTGCACCTAGCAGGGGCCCAATATTTACTTGCTGAATGAACAAGGATGGTGACACTTTTTTAAAAAAGTATTGGGAAATGCGCTGGACCATATCTCATTGCAAAAAGGAAAAGGGAGCAGAAAGTAATAGCTCTGAAACAGAGCTCATACTTACCAAGGTGAGAATCTTCAGTGTGGCGGCGTTGAATGTGACTTTGCAGAAAACCTTGGTTCATGAAGGCCTTATCACAAAAATGGCACTGAAAAGGAGAGGGAACAAATCCAAGCATCTGTAATGTGTGTCTCCCCACCTCCTTGCATGTAAAATGTGAGGACCTGAAGCACTATTTCTTGGGGGCTTTCTCCTTGGAAGATATTATCCTGGCAGGAGATACTGAAAGCATGATTAAAAAGAGAAATCCATCACCTTCAATATTTGTCTTTTCTTTATGCTAGAACCATTTAAGTATAAAGAATAAATAAATAAAAATAAATAAATAAAAAGAGAAATCTAAAACCAGGGCGTTCTTCCCAAACTAAACACAAACCAGTGAAAACCATCTCTTGACAGTTTTAAAGGGCCCTCTGGTGCTTTCTGGAACCCTTGACGCTGCTCCTGTTAGATTGGTGGCTTCCACTCAATCACCAATAACTTGTTCATGATGCGCCAGCATTCTTTCTGTCCCTCAAGCACGCCAACCTCAGAGCCTCGGCATTCACTGTTCCCCTTGCCCGATCTTCCCCAGACCTTCCCACAGCTGGCACCTTCTTGACATTCAAGATGTCATTCACTGTGACTCTTCCGCATCAGGGATGACAGTATGTCCTCAATAAGGTCTTCCCTGAAGATACTCCCGCCAGTCACTGTCACAACACATTGTCTTATTTTCACCATTATACATCTCATTTAATTTCATGGTTCAGCTATTTTCATGGTTATTTACTTCACTCATTTATTGTCTCTTTCTCAATCCCTCTCAGTTCTAGAACAGAGCTTCACGAGGGCATGGACTCTGTCTATCTTACTCACAGATTCGTCCCCAGAGCACAGCATGGACACAAGACTGAAGAAATGCTTGGAAATATTTGAGCCAAAACCTACTGTGTTTTCCAAAGGGAAAAAAGTCAATTCCACCAACATCTCTATTTTGTCACTTTAACATTCATTCATATTTTAAGTAAAAATTTCATCCACTGCCTCATCCCTGCATTATTCTGAAGTGGGTGCTGAATATTATATATTTCATTTGTAAATATTTCAGGATGTAACTCTAAAAGATGAAGACTTTTAATGCAATCATAATCACATTAATCCAGGCAAGAGAATCACTTAGGCCCAGGAGTTCAAAACCAGCCTTGGCAACATAGTGAGACCACGTCACTACAAAAATCAAAAAATTAGCCAGGCATGCTGGTACATGCCTGCGGACCCAGCTACTAGGATGGGTGAAGTGGGAGGATTGCTTGAGCCTAGCAGGTAGAGGCTGCAGGGAGCCAGGATTGTGCCACTGCACCCTAGCCTAGAAGACAGAGTGAGACCCTGTCTAAATAATAATAATAATTATAAATGTGAAAATTAAATCATTATAAATGTGAAAATTAAGTCTTTAATTTCAGCAAAATTCCAACTATTTGTTTATTTTCCCCTAATGTTTCACATATTGTTTTGGAAAGGAATTCCAATTTGTTTGTTTTGAAACAGGATCCAAATAAGGCCCAAATCCTGCTACTGGTTGTTATAGCTCTCTCTTTTTTTTCCTTTTTTTTTCTGAGTCAGAGTCTTGCTCTGTCACCCAGGTTGGAGTGCAGTGGCACACTCACAGCCACCTCAGCCTTGACCTGCTGGGTTCAAGCGATCCTTCCACCTCAGCCTTCCAAGTAGATGTGTCTACAGTCACATGCTACAGGCACCTGGCTAATTTTTTTTTATTTTATTGTAGAGATGACTCTTGTCAAGTGGCCTAGGCTGGTTTCAAACCCCCAGGCTCAGGCAATACTCTCACCTCCACCTCCCCAGGTGCTGGGATTACAGACATGAGCCACCATGCCCGGCTTTCTTATTATATCTCTTAACTCTCTTGTAGTCTATAGGTTTCCTCTCCAATTTTTTTCCCTTGCCATCCTGTTGCTAAAGGGACCAAAGCTTGTTCTGCAGAGTTTCTCTCAGTCTGAATTTTGCTGTTTTCATCCCTTTTGTGTTTTGCTCTTAATCAGTGCAAGTATATCCAGACTTCAGGCTTTGGCTTGTAAAACTAACATTCTGGCATACTTTTTGGCATTGCATTTCAAAGAATCTCTTGAAAGCAACTCTTCAGCTTTCTCTGCTCATAATAACTACTTTGGTTCACCCATAGGACTTTGGGGACCACCTGCACTGGCTCGTAACGTAATGATAGGCTCCAGGGCTCTGCACAGCACTGGAGAAAGGAAAGGAGAAGAAAACCATGCCTTCTTCCATCGCTAGTCCTATCCCAGTGTTCACATCTTGCCGGAAGGTACTCTAACAAGACTGTTCCCTCCAACGGGGCCCTTATCCAACATCCAATTCCCTCAGGCTACAGAAAACAGAAATGTGGTATACCCAGCCTTTGATCTGTAATACTGACACTCCATCAGGACGAACAGAATGTTTCGGTAGGGCTGCCCAAGTGATAAGATGAAAGAAACGGCTTAGTAATGATGGGAGGAATCCAAACATACCATCCCATGAAAGGGAGGATGGAGCAGGAAGGAGAGGAGGAGGAAAAGAAAAGAGGGAAGGAAGGGAGGGAGGAAGAAGGAGAGAACAAAAGAAAGAAAGAAAGAAAAAGAGAGATTAAAAACATAGCATGGTCCAGGTACAGTGGCTCAAGCCTGTAATCCCAGCACTTTGGGAGGCCGGGGTTTGGGTTTGTCCAAGCCTACGGGTTGGAGAACAGCCTGGGCAACTTCAGGAGAACTCATCTCTCCAATAAATCAAAAAATTAGCCGGGCGTAGTAACACACATCTATAGTTCCAGCTACTTGAAAGGCTTTGGGAGAACAGTCGCCAGAGCCCAGCAGGTCGATGCTGGGGAGGCCATGAGCGTGCCACTGCACTCCAGTCTGGGCGACGGAATGAGACACTAACTCAAAAAAGAAAAAAAGAAAGAAAAAAGACATAGCATGCAGATAAAGATTTTGCAGGGGGTGGAGGGCAACTATAAATGAAAGAAGGAACAAAAAGATGTTCTTCACAATCTCTTTAATTCACACCACAGAACATAAAAGGAGCATGCATCCTATGCAAACAGGATTAAAAGAAAACAGAGATTTGAAAAACAGAAAGATAAAAATACAAAAAATAGGCCAGGCGCAGTGGCTCAAGTCTATAATCCCAGCACTCTGGGAGGCCGAGGCGAGAGGACTGCCTGAGCCCGCGGGTTTGAGAGCCACCTGGGCAACATGGTGAGACCTCGTCTCTACAATAAATCACAAAATTAGCTAGGTGTGGTAGTGTGTGCCTATAGTTCCAGCTACTTGGAAGGTCAAGGTGGAAGGATCGCCTGAGCCCAGCAGGTGGAGGCTGTGGTGGCCGTGAGTATGCCACTGCACTCCGGCCTACGCAACAGAGTGAGACTTCGACTCAAAAAAAACAAAAAAACAAAAAATAAGAGCCAAAATATCATCACAGAACAAATAAATCTGAAAAAGCAAGGAATAAAAAGAGACACTGTTGAGAACTGAATTGCTCACTAAAGGAAAGGCGGAGACAATGTCTCCCAGTGAGCGCACATTAGAAGGACAGAGATTAGCCGGTCTCAGTGGCTCAGCCTGTAATCCCGCGCTTTGGGAGGCTGAGGTGCGTGGATTGTCTGAGCCCGCGGGTTCGAGACCCGCCTGGGCAATTTGGCGAGACCTCATCTCTACAATAAATCAAAAATTAGCTGGGCATGGTAGCGCGCGCCTGTAGTTTCAGCTACTTGGAAGGCTGAAGCGGAAGGATCGCTGGAGCCCAGCAGGTCGAGGCTGAGGTGACCGGGAGTGGCCATTGCACTCCAGTCTGGGCAACAGAGTAAGACTCCAACTCAAAAAATAAAAATAAAAATAAAAATAAAAAGGAAGGTTACAGTCAAAAGAGATATCCTTTGGAAATGGAGGGAGAAAAATTATTTTATTTCTAAAATATTTTTAAATCTTAAACTTTCTTAAAAAGAGTGATAAAATATAGCAAAATACTAACATGAATTAAATCTAGGAGGTAGGTTTATGGCGTCTCTTACATTAGTCTATGCACTTTCTTTGTATGTTTATAATATTCGACTACTAGTTTGTCTCAGAAAATGAATGTTTTCTTTTGAGTCTCCCACATATGGGTATTCACTATACAGTTGTTTAAATTTTGTAAAATTGTTTTTAATTTTTAAAAATAAAATGTTAGCCAGACAAGGTGGTTCATGCCTGTAATCCCAGCACTATGGGAGGCATAGGTGAGAGGATTGCCTGAGCCTATGGATTCGAGACCAGCCTGGGCAACTTGGCAAGACCTCACCTCTACAATAAATCAAAAAATTAGCCAGACGTGGTGGCACATGCCTGTAGTTCCAGCTACTTGGAAGGCTGAGGCAGAAGGATCACCTGAGCCTAGCAGGTCAAGGCTGCGGTGGCCATGAGCATGCCACTGCACTCCAGCTTGGGCGACAGAGTGAGACTCCAACTCAAAAAAGAAATAATTAGCCGGGCTCGGTGGCTCAGCCTGTAATCCCGCGCTTTGGGAGGCTGAGGTGAGTGGATTACCTGAGCCCAAGAGTTCGAGAACAGCCTGGGCAACTTGGCGAGACCTCATCTCTACAATAAATCAAAAAAAATTAGCCGGGCGTGGTAGCGCACCTGTCATTCCAGCTCCTTGGAAGGCTGAGGCGGAAGGATCGCCGGAGCCCAGCAGATCGAGGCTGTGGTTGCCGGGAGCGGCCACTGCACTCCAGTCTGGGTGACAGAGTGAGACTCCAACTCAAAAAAAACAAAACAAAAAACCCTTCAAGAAGCAGACATCTTTAATTTTTTTTCAGTCTCAACTACCTGATTCTTATGATTTCTTGAAGCAAAGGGGAAATGGAGGTAAAGAGAAGTGATATGAGAATGAGACTGCACTTTCTGAAAGGTAAAACTGATCACGTCAGGGGCCCAATTGTTGTACAAGAATAAGGAGTTCATAGCTTGGATTTTCTGTCTGGGGGAGAAGGAAAAACTGAGATGATGGCAAATCATGTAACTATTCACATTCTGTCACCAGTCAGTTTTG